TTATTATTATTAATATTATTATTTGCATTCTTTCCATTAAACATTCTAAATAACCACTGTAACAAGTTTTAGGCCGATGACTCCCAAGTCAAATGACTTTACGGCACTAAGTTTTAAACATCCTTACAGCCTTAATAGCTGAAGTCAAAAAGGTTTCGAAGAGATGTTTCACATTTTAAAAAAAAATATTTATGTTTTGATCAGTGCTATACCCCTTATCAAACACATATTCAAACAAATCGACATCTAACTTAAGATTTTCGCCCAATTTTATCCCGTTAATTTAAGACAATCCACACAAAAGTTTTCTCACATGGAATCCCTGTCCACATCCGAATCTTCCTACAACAACATAATCACCCCCAAACTATACTAAATTTGGTCTAAAGATAAGTGATTTAGTATGATTTGGGTAATCGTCTATGGCCAACTATATGAACCTATCAATTATATGAATCAACTCATAGCATCACAATATCCAACTTAATTCTAATGCATGTATAATATCAAGTTTTGTAAGGTTAAGTATCAATCAGTCTAGCATACATCATATCTACGGTTCATAAATCAACACAAAATCTCAAATTTAATCATAATTGCCGGTCAAACTATCTAACACACACAAGCACATAGCCTAAAACAAGAAAATATATATTATTTATTTAATTTATTTTTTTTGGTTGAAAATTTTCAAATTCTTTGATTTTTTTTCTATTATATACTAAAGCAATAACAAAAAACAAACACTCAAAAACACACAAAAAGTAAAAAAAAAATACCCCTAAACTTAAAATTGACATTGTCCTCAATGTTACAAAATATAAATAAAAATATGAGGGGATAGGGAAGAAAATGAAGAAGACACTCCTCGAATTTTTCGGTTGAAGGTATGAGGCACTATGTGTGAGATTAGACAATCTTCTTTATCATGCTTCTCCCTTAGTCTGTGTTGGTTCGAGTATTCCATGACGTCATGTTCATGCACATCACAGTCAAATCAAACAGTAAAGATCAAATAACTTAAAACATGTATTACTTAACCCAAACAATCGAAATAGCCAATAATAAATTCAATGGTCTAAGGGGAAACATGATAGGATGGTGATACCCTATAAATTGAAACATGCCTAATTCTAATGGAAACTAGTAATCAAAATAAATCTATATGCAATATGGTACAGAAAATAGGATAAATAAATGCGTTAGGAAATTGAGTTGCCTTCCAATAAGCGATTAATTTATAGTCTTTAGCTAGACTGTATGGATAAATTGGTCATGGTGGCTCATGCTGGAATCTTGCAACCTTACACCCCTTACAATTTTCAGCTTTGCATCATCTTTTTGCCCTCCAAATCTTGAACTCTCCATTCTCATCTCGTCCAAGACTCCCTAGATCAAATCCAAAATAGAGTAAACTGACTTGTTGAACTTCTTCAGCAATAGATTTGGCTTTCTCTAGGATTAATGGTTGTTTGGGTGGACTATATAATTTAAAGATCTCATGTGCATCATCCACCCTTATAAGCAGTTCACTCTTCTCCATGTCAATCAAAGTTCAACTAGTTGCCAAAAATGTTCAACTTAAGATAATTGACATATCGTAGTCATCTTCGATGTCCATTATAAGGAAGTCTGCCGGAAATATTAGCTTTTCAACCTTGATGAGCACATCATCAACCCTGTCCCATGGGTATCTAATGCTCCTATCTGCCAACTGAGCGTCACATTTGATCATTTGACTTCCCCACTCCTAAAAGTAGACAAAGGCATTAAATTTATACTTACACCTGTATCACATGAAGCATTAAATTAATTTTTTTGCCTAGTAAAATAGGTAAAGTGAAACTCCATGGGTCTTTGAGTTTTGGTGACAATTTATTTTCACCAAGCCCAGCTCTCTTCGGCCAATGGCTCAATGGTACTTTATCCTAGTCTAGAATTTTTCTTTTCTTGGATATCATGTTCTTCAGGAACTTTGTGTACATTGAGATGTTTTGAATTGCATCGATGAACGATAGAGCTTTTTCAGCATATCCAGGAATTTCTCGAATTGATCATTGAGCTTTCTCTTTTGCAATCTATGTGGAAACGGTAGTGGTGGTATAAATTCTTTAGTATGAACGGTTTCCTTTACTTTAGATCATCTGATGCTCTATCTGTCTCTGTTTCTTTGTTTTGCCCAGATTCTTCCAATTGCTCCTCAACCGTGGAATGTATCTTTTCTTTGGTAGCAACTGATCGCTTTATATTAATCTATAGCAGTTGAACTTCACTGCGGGTAGTTATTGCCCCAATCTGTTCATCCTCCACAATCTTCACTGTCATTACCTACTATTTGAGATTTATCTCAGTGTCACTAGGTAGTCCTCTTGGTGGTCTCTCTGAAAGTGTATTCACTATTTGTCCCATCTGATTTTTCAATTTTTTTATGGCAGCTCCCTGAACTTGTAAGGTTTTACCTGTTCTTTGCATCTGTTGGGTAGAAATCTCCGCCAATTTAGTA